CCAGTTTTCTGCTCTCTCCTCCCTCTTTGACTGCTGTGACTTCAGGAAATGTTCTAAGACCAAATGTTCCAAGTTAAATATTGTTAATATTTTTTGTAGGTGGTATTTAAAAGTGTGTTGACTTTTTAGATTTGTGGAACACGGAGAGTACAAAGAAAATTTGTATGGCACAAGTCTGGAGGCAATCCGGTCTGTGATGGCCAAGAAGAAGGTTTGTTTGGTGGATGTGGTACCTGAAGTAAGTTCTGCAGCTTTTTTAAAGAATGCAAATCTGATTTCCTGCTGCCTGAGCAGAAGGGGATTTTGGGAATGCAGTGCAGTGGTTGCAGGTCCTGCATGTCCAGCTGGGACATGCCTTGCAAATAACACTAGATAATTTTGAGAAATAGAACTATGAAAGATGCATGGTAGGAGGGGTACTACTAATTAGCACAAGGGGTCATTTCAGATGATTGGCTTTAAGGCATTTACAGCATGGCCTGGCTAAAGCTGATAGGCCAAGAAACACCTACAGTGTATTGTAATTAGGAGATAATTGGCTTCTGATTGTGATGGTGTGAATGACAACATCTGTATTGTCTCACCCTTCACATGAGACTTAAAATAGAGTAAAAGCTTTTAAAACACCTCTCAGTTGCCCCATCTCTGGGTCAGAAAAAGGCTTAATCCAGCACAGCCTGGATGTCTTTTTAGTAGTCCTCACCATGGCACTTTTCCCTTGCTGTAGGACCAATGTGCATCCCTGTCCCAGCCTGCTCAGGTCCTAGAGAGAATCCTTAGAGCAAAGCTGTGGTTTCCATTCTAGTCCTGATTTTAAAGACGCTGGCCATAGCACACCCACACCCCCCCAAGGCTCTCATTTGTAGGATGTCAAAGATACAGGACCCATTTTTGGTGCAGATACAGAATGCAGTAACACCATGAACCACCCCAGGACAGGAGCAGTGTAAGCAGTGCCAGCAGACCTGCTCTTAATACCCCCATGCTGTGAGTTAAAACTTGAAATTTTGATCCAGGTTTTGTAACTGGACTTGGAAAAGCTTGTGGTACTACCTCAGATGAAATTCCAAGTTTAAAATTTGCAGTGTTTGGCTGCTTAGGCAAAGCAAACCATAACTTGCCCATGAAGTCAGGGGTTTTTATACTTTCCTCAGTATTTTTTGCCATGTCCTTGCCCCTTGGAATCCCAGTGCTATTGAGGCCATGCTCCATGCACCCTTGTGTGCTAGCCAGGACACTCCCATGAGCCTGTGTTTGAAGAGCAAGGTTGCTGTGGTCAGATGTGTAGGAAACAGGACTTCACACCACAGTACCAGTGAAACCACTGAAACCAGCTCGAGTCTCATAGACATCTACTAAAAAGAAGTCTGATAACCAAAAATCATCTGTTCACAGGCAGTAAAGCACTTGAGGACTCCTGAGTTTAAGCCTTATGTTATCTTTGTGAAGCCTCTCATTTCAGAAAAGAAAAAACATGTCTTAAAATCTCACATGTCAGAAGAAATCTCATCCCCTCTCGTAAGTATTCCAACTTCTAATCTCTCCTTTTCAGACATGAACTGACACTTCTGTTACATGAAAGAGCTCCTTTCCCATAACAAGAGTTAAAGTGGGGCACTAAGTAGGTCTTGTAGCCTTTCAGATGGAACTTCAGAATGGAATTTTTGATTCCTTTAAAGTTTTAAAGTAACATGAAGCCCAAGTGCCAGTCTTCCATATGGATCTGGGTACATCATCAAGGCTGCAGCAGGGGAAGGTGCTGCTGAACTCAGATAAACCAACAATCATTTTGCATTTCTGACGAGCAGCCCATCAAAAGATAATTGTGTTACAGCCCCAAAGTGACCCCCACACCAGTGTCAGCCAGTGTTTAAGATGGTGTACTCACAAAACACAGTGTGGATGTCTTGAGGGCTAAACCTAGATCAGCTGCAGCTTGGTGATGTGTAAACCTGAACAGAGTGCATAATGTCATTGCTTTGGGTAACCTGAGCTCAAATTTATGTTACAGACCTTAGTTCACTTGGGTTTTTGTAGGAGTGTGCCCCTTGTTGACAGAGTGACAAAACTGTCCTTTGTCTCCCTAAAAAGGAAAGAAGCCCAGTAGTTTCTTTCATCAATTAGGTGAAAAGCCACCTCCATAGGACCTTGGAAACTTCACCCCAAGTTTAAGAGTAGCTAATTGGAGAGAAGCCAAAAAGTCTTGCCTGAACAATTGGGTAGAAAAAGAAGAGAACAAAGGAGCTAATGGCTTTTGTGAGGTGTTTTACCAGGAGCAAGATCTCTTGCACTTGGCTGGGGTTTTTCTGTTTATTTTGCCTTTTATTAAACCTTTTTGTTTCCAACGCTGCAGCAGAAGCCATCCTGCTTATTTCTCTGCCTCCAAAGGTAGCTGAGCTACCTTGGGTGTATTATATTCCTCTAAGAGCTTATTAGACCTGGCTTGAGGAGGAAAACGTAATAGTTTTTGTGTAAGCCCTCAAATATATTGAATTTGGACAATGTAAACAGCATTTCTTTTCAGTTTTTGAGGAGTGTGGTTCCCATATCTTGGGTTAGGCAGCCATTCTAATTACATAAAATGCATTATCATGTCTCTCCTGTAACATATTTTCCCCCTTCCCTGAGGCCCCTTACATTTTTTGGAACAGCTGCCTGTAGCATACTGCTCCTTGATCTCAGTTTTAGTATCTTCAATACCTTTTCCTAATGGTAGCAGCTTTTGTTAAATGTTCTCAGAGGAATGACTCATTGTGCTAATATACTTTAAAATGCTAATAACCAGAAGGACATGCTGTCACTTTCATACCAACATCTTGTGTTGATCAGCAGGATGAAGAACAGCAGGAAATTATAAATTCAGCAGCATTCATTGAAGAGCAGTATGGCCATTTAATTGACACTGTACTGGTGAAAGAAGATCTCCAGAGTGCATGTAATGAGCTGAAAACTGTGTTAGATAAACTAAACAAGGATTCATTTTGGGTGCCAGTCAGCTGGGTTAGGTCATAGCTTGTTACCATGTTTAAGGGAAAGACTGTATAAAAATGTTCTGTAAATACATGAATTAGAAAAGGGAAGTACATTGAATTTGCTTCAAAACTGCTGGTTTTACCCAGAAGGCAATAAATAAAGACTGTATGAGGAAAGACTAAACAAAGTCATAGCCTTTCTGAGTCAAAATTTTGAATAGCAGCTGTCATTTAGAAGTTGATTCTGAGACCAAATAAGCCAGTCCAGTCTTTTACTGATCTTCAGATTGGAAATAGTGCAGAGGGTCCCACACTTCCAAAGCATTTTGTGCTGAGATACTAACATGATGGAAGGTTTGTCCTTTGGCCACAAATTTTGTGGCTAGGTTTAAAACCTCAGAATAAAGTGCCCCTTGGGAACAAGCTCCTTCAGCTGGGTGGGAAGTGTTCTTTGGAGAGAGGTTTCACCATGCCAGTTTAACTGGCCAGCAAAACATGCTTCCCTTCACACAGAAGCATTAATTGTAAATCCTCTAGTTAGGCACTAAAAACCAGCTTTAGAAGGGGTTTTTTATGTCCATCACCTTTCCCAGTACTCCAGCTTGCCTTGCACAGGTCACAGGTATTGTCTGCTCATGCACAGCTTGTGCCAACTTTCCCAGTCAAAAATGCTGAACAGCCTCTGAGTGTACCTGTGTGACTGCCCAGCTCCTGAAACCTAGATTTTTGTAGTGTACATGAAAACAACTGCATATGGTTCTAAAACAGGACATTTGAGGTTCTGTTTCTGCAAAACCCCTTTGCCTGTGCTACCTGGTGGGACACAGCCTTGACACCAATGGAACAGCTCCAAAAAGGGCACTGAAATGAGGAGCTACAGGTCAAAATCATCCTCTTCCAGCTTTTATGCACTAAAAGGAAGAGCTACAGGTCAAAATCATCATCTTCCAGCTTTTATGCACTAAAAGGAGGAGCTACAGGTCAAAATCATCATCCTTCCAGCATTTATGACTACTTCTATTCCAAATCTGATGAAGGTTTCCAGAGCATCTAATTGGCTTGAAGAAGAAAACTGTTAGAGGACCTTGAATGTATTTGGGGAGACTTGAATCTACAGTATTTTTGAGTGGGTCTTAGGAAGATGCAGAGATGATTCTGGAAGTAGCTGTGCTTTATCCTCGGGGGATTTAAGGGGAGAGCATTGTACAGGTGCATGTTAGCTGTAACTAGTTCCTGTTTTCACTTGCCTGCTGAGGTCTGATATTTCCTGTGTATTGTGCCCTTTAAACAAGACCTTTTGGTGTACCAGTCCTGTTACAGATAATGTTCTTCTTGTTCCATGGCATTTAGCAGAACTAAAAGTTGCATATTAAAAGCACATTTCTTACATACCAGTGTCACTGAATCTACATTATGTCAAGCCCCAAAAAAAGCTGTGTAGAAGAATCACCCTCATCCATCTTCTCCAAATGAGAACTTTCATGTCTGGTCCTGCCCATGGGCATTGAGGTTCTGTTCCCACTGCTACAAAAACAAGAACTTTTCCCAGGCAGGTCCCTGCACTTGTCAGTGCTGCAGCCTGGTGACCTCAAAAAATGCTGAGGACTCCTCCACATGCAGTGGGCTCTGCAACCATGTGCTAGAGCACAGCCACCAAAAAGGATTTGGCTTCTTAGAGAGGCAATTCATCACAGATGTACCTTGATCCTATGAAAAACTGAAGGAAATACTTTAAAAATTATTTCAGTAACAGCATTTCAAACTAAGTCAGTTTATGAAAATAATAAATGGCCAGATTGATCTCACCCTAGGTCTGTATTTCAGGTTACAAACAGATTTTTAGAACATATTTAGAAGATTCAGATTTAAGTTAAAAAGCTAAGGGTCAGAATTTATTTAAAGCAAGATTGCTATCACAACATCTTAAAATATTTTGCCTGACTAGCAGTAAATGCAGCTGTATGTTTGCTTTATTGTCTAACATAGTCTAAATAGTAGAAATATGCATTAACAGAAGCAAGGCACAAGTTACATCTGAAATTTTCAGTTATTTTAATGTAAGTTAGGAAAATACAATATAGCAAAATACAATATTGCCATTAAAAGTGTAAAAGACAAAAGGGGAACTTCATAGTGGGATTGGTGACAGACTCACTCTAGTGCAAAGTCTCCCATAGGCAGCACATTTTCTGTGAAATTGAGTTTTATCAATTTCTGATACAATTTTTATCAATTCTGATAATTTTTTTAATTTTATCTGTGGTTTCTGGAAGAGAATAAGGGTTTGCAGAGATTCTCAGTGACTGCAAAGCCACAGTCATGGTGTGACAGCCCAAAATGATGAGTGCATCCCATCCCAGAGCCTCAGTTGAAAGAGAACAGCACAGGGTCAGCTTCAGTGTCCTGCACTTTTCCTGGTAAGTGTTAAAATACAAATCCTCTTCATCACAGCCCTAAAATTAACCAGTAACTCAGATTACTGTCTGGGGACATGTAGCAATTTTGACTTTTTAAAATCATCCAAAATCAGGAAATTCTGTCCACTGATCAATCTCCTGCTGAGTAACCACATGAAGGTAACTTGGGTGCCTCAAAGCCTCCCATGCCATCCAAGGGAAAAGAAGCTTCTCAATAATATTCCAGAATTGAATACCACCTAATTTATGCGAAGGCAGGAATTCCAGCAAAAGTCCATGTTGAATGTCATACAGCAAAGCACAATTCTCTAAGCAGCACTATGATTTAATAGTGAAAAATCTGAGAGCTACCAAAAAAATACCTGCAGACAGCAGTTGTGCAAGAGGGAAGGAGAAACTGTATTTTGTTAATGAATAAAAATGTATTTTGCTAATGAGTTTGTGTTTTGGATCTGCACAACTGATGGCACATCAAACATGGCACAGATGGGTGCTTGGAATCTCATCCCCACCCCTTTTTTTGTTCCCTCCAGTCAGGCAGAACAGCCAGCTGCACATTTAAAGAAGTGCACAGTAGGCACCACAAAAGCCTTTATTCTGCTGTGCTGATGGTTCCATGAGCTGCACTCCCTTTTTCCCTGTGCCCTTATCCCAGAGATCTGGAGTCTGCAGGATCTTTATGACCAGCTCCTCAAAGGCATGCTGCACTCCATCCTGTGTCTTGGCACTGGTCTCTGGAGGAAGGTGGAAAAAAATATTTTACTTTATTTGCAGGGAGTATATTCCACTTAGGAAAAATGTATTTTGGGACCAAATGTATTTTGGAGTTTTTTAATGACTGAACCTCCTCTCCATTCTCTCTTTAAGGTGCACTTAAGTTGAACAGGATAAACAGAAATACATACCAGTCTGAAGTACCACATTTTTCCACCAAAAAGAAATCCAGTTGCCCATTTTCTCCATAATGGAGAAAAAGAAATTGTTCTCAGGTTGTGACAGTAAATCTAGAAAATAATTATTCCATAACAAACCTGAGAAACAAAGAATAAGATGGAATTGCATGTTGTCCCCTATGTGTTTCAATGTCTCCTAGAAATCTTTTCAAGAAGCTTCCTCTTTAGAAACTCAGTTTCTTCCCCACCTTTGTATCTTCACGTTGTATATTTTATTGTTGTTCTAAGAATATTGTCTTTTATGTAGCTGCAACAGAAACTTGGAAATGAAAGATCAGCCAAGATCCTTGCAGATACCAGTAAGGAGGAAAAAATCAGTCTTCTGGGCTCTAAATTAAAAAATCCTGCTAGTTTCAAGAGAATATCAAATTCATGCCTGTACAGTCTATGCAGTAAATCTGGTTCAGAGAAAAGTGCTTCTGGTCAATGCAGAAGCTACATCCCTGCACAGGAATTACAGCAAAAGGAACCCATATTAATTAGGTATTTTAAAAAAGGCAGCAACCCATCAACCTGAAATACAATTGTACATTCATGCTTGGCAATACCAAAATAAACATCTGAATGTGGAAGTTTTTGTCCCAGAGGTGCATACCTATAAAAAGCAGGGAGTGTTTCCTGGCAAGCTGGAGCCCCTCTTTTCTCTCCACTTCACGGTCAGGCTGCAGAGACAGATGAAGAACATCACTGAAATAAGCTACACTTGCCTCTTTTTAAAAGTACCCAGAAAAGCTCCACTGAAATGAGAACAAAGCCTCAAAAATGAGGTTTTGTTGAAAGGAAAGAATGTCTGTGATATGTATTAATCAACTGGATTTTGCCACTCTGTAGCTCACTGCCAGCCTGGCTGTGAGGGGGTCAAGCTGAACAGCAGCAACATCAAACCACAGGATCACCAGGATCATCAAAGTCCCACACAGCCCCAGAACCACCCCGTGTGCCAAATCAGCAGGAATTGAATGTGTTGCTGTGTTCTGAATCAAGCAGAAAGGCCCAGCAGTCAGTCCCAGGTTCTGAAACTGGGCACACTGGGGTGGGCAGAGGAGAGCCCAGCTCAGCAGAGCCACACTCAAAGCCTCGCCTTGCAAAGCAAAAGCAGAGTACTTCACTATGCAACAGGCATCTGAATGTGCCAGAAGAGCCCAGAAACAAGCAGCAAGGAGTGCTCCTCCCAGCCACACTCCCCAGCCAGCCAAAGAGCTGAGCTCCCCTTCCCCACCCTGTCCTTCACCAGCAGGCTGCTCAGGAAGCAGCAGCTGTGCTGCAGGGAAGGTCAGGGCTGGACAGCAGGTTTTGGGCAGAGCCTTGGACCATGTTAATGGAATATCATCAATTGCATCTCCCCAGGAAAGCTCCCATTAAAATCTTTAGCAATATCTGCTTCTAAAATGACAGAAGTGGAGCCTTCCCAACTGAGCTGCAGAGTCAGTTACCTCCTGACACAATAGCTGTGTTACAGCACTTACCTCACATTTACACACTGTGATGAATAAATAATCCAGGGAAGAATGGAAAAGGATGCATTCCCAAACTGACCTTATCAGTTTTATTGCCAACCAGCATCTTCACAGTGCTGCTGGAGGTGGTGTACATTTCCAGCTCATTCAGCCATCCTCCTAGTCCTGTGAACGTGGCTTTTCTTGTAACATCATACACTGAGAACAGAGGAAAAGGAGCTTAACAGCTGTAGTTTTCTTCATTGTGACAGAACTTCATCCATCCACACTTCCTAACTTCTGCCTGGAAAAAACAAGAGGTACTAGGGAACTACAGAAAGAGGCATCAAGCACACACTCCTCCCAGAGCTGGAACACACTGGGCTGTGCTCACCCAAAGTCTAGCTCAGGATTACAGAACACGAGCACCTCTGCAGGGGAAAATTCAGATTTACCAACAGAAATATTCTACCTGGTGCTAGTGCTGATTGGGCCACACAGAATATTTTAAAATAGGTATTCTGACACCTAATTTTATGTGTAAGTACATGCACACGCTGCTGCTAAAACATGGACTGAGTTCAAAGTTACTTTTGGGCACTGGTAACATAACTGCATTTACATAAATCGCTAAGGTTTAAAAATCACAGAAAGAATATTTTGTACAGCAAAGTTAAGGTCAGCCTTCACAAGTCCTGAAAGGAAGAACCCCTTTGTTTTCTAATTGCTGCTGTCACTGAGAAAGGGCTTTGTCTGTGTACAAACCTCAAGTCTTACCATAATCACAATAATCACATCAACAGTTTCTGGGGGAAAAAAGAAGTAAAAACATCATGGGGAAAAGAACACAACACAACCCCTGATTAGCCTTATTACCAGAAAACCACCCATGTGATAGCTACAAAGCTAATAATTCATCCACTCAACAGCTTCCAGCATGACATCTCTGTCTTTTTAATTTAAAATACTTTGAAGCAGCAGTATTTCCTGCTTGTGGTTTTGCACATTCAGTGTTTGAGCTAATGAGGGGTAATGTTGTAAAAGCCATAATTATTCCTCTGATTATCTTGGATAACCTCCTTTTGCAAGGACATGCATATTTAGGAGAAATAAAGACCACAATTTCTGTAATCATGTTTTTTTCCCATTTATTTCATACCTAAAACAACCCCTTGAGCTCCTCTGTAGTAACTGGGAGTCACTGTTCTGAAACGCTCCTGTCCTGCTGTATCCTACAGAGGGAGGGGGAAAACCCCAAACAAACATCAAAAACATTTAGAACAAAAGAAAAAAAAAGGTATTTTAAACAAAAAAAGATGAGCAAATTAAAAATTTTATAATTTTTAATCCTGAGCAGTAAGGATACATGAAATATTAAGATGTGAGACTGAGGAAAGCAGGCAGGAAACAGCAGCAAAAAATGGTTAAGGAGTGGGAGAAAAACATGGAGAGGACTTGACTGGAAGTAAAAAGGACAAACAGACACCAGGAACGTGAGTGAGACAACAGGAAAGGAAAAGGGACTCCAGAAAAACACATAAAAGGCAAGCAGCCACACAGATGGGTTTAAAACCAACTGAACTGAGGAATAACTGATTTTCCAGTGAGAGACTGCAGGACAGGAGACTGAAAGGTTCCAAACATCTCCCTCTGCTCCTTTACCACAAACAAATCCAGTTAGAAAGAACTGCTATGAACCTAAGTAGGCAAGAAACTTAAAATCAGTAGTTTCATTCAATTATTACTGCAATATGTCTCACTTAAACTCATGAATAAGTAAGGAACTAAATATAATATGAAATTCAAAAGAAACAATAAGGAGGCAACAAATCAAATATTTTTTTGAAAAAATTTTATTTCCTTTTATGTACAGCTTACAGTTGATGGACTAACAGCTATATTGTAATTTATTTATTCTTTGTTTTTAAAAAAATATACTAAAATTGGGACTACTTACCTAATTCAACCCATTGTTACTAGGGAGATTGCATTTTAGTCCCAATTACTTAATTAGTAATGGCCTTTTCTCAAATACCTATGACCATACACATAAAATCTCTCCTTCCTAAGATTCTTTCACTCCACTTAGAAGAATTTAATGTTTGTTTTATATTACAAATGATCCTGATCACACAACTGCAATCTCTTTTCAGTCTGCAGATGCTGAAAATACAGCATCAGGAAGTTCAGGACAAATGCTTGAGGTTTCCCAGTTAATCTGAATGAACCTTTAAATAATTCAAGAACAAGTTAGTGGGTTTTTTTGGCACTATTTTAGCCAAAATAAAGCAGAGTTGGTACACAGCCCCTCCAGGCAATCCCCCAGCTCCTTACCCAGAGCATCACCTTGCTCTGCTTTACTCCATTTCTGCTCCTGGCTCATGCAGGCACCTCTCTCCCATGGATAGGTTTGTCTTGGCATGAGGTGGGATTAATCCAAACAGTCCTAAAATACCTTTCATGTGTACCACAGGGACTTGATGTAAAAACATCACAGGGAAAAGAACACAACACAACCCCTGATTAGCCTTACTACCAGAAAACCACCGATGTTATAGCCACAAAGCTAATAATTCATCCACTCCACAGCCTGCAGCATGACATCTCTGTCTGTTTAATTTAAAATCCTTTGAAGCAGCAGTATTTCCTGCCTGTGGTTTTGCACACTCAGTGTTTGAGCCAATGCCCCAGCTCCTTACCCAGAGCATCACCTTGCTCTGCTTTACTCCATTTCTGCTCCTGGCTCATGCACCTCTCTCCCACGGATGGGTTTGTCTTGGCATGAGGTGGGATTAATCCAAACAGTCCTAAAATGCCTTTCACGTGCACCACGGGGACTTTATCTCCAGACGTGTGCCAGGGCTCAGGCTGGGCAGCAGCAGCTCACTGATGCACCCTCGGTGGTGCCGTGCAGGCGGCTGTCCCTCTCTCATGCTGACAGCTTTACACTGCCCAGAGCCTTCGAGAAACTGCAGCCAGAGCACTCAAAGCCTCACTGGAACGGAAGGAAGTGCTGAGCCTTGACTAAGGAAGCCTTTAGGAGTGTTTTTGTTTGTCTGCGACACTCATTCTACAAAAAATCTCAACACGCAGAAGACTTTGGCGAAGAGAGAGGAGGAGCAGGAAGGAAGGGAGGAAACCACAGAAAGGAGCTCTTGAAGCTTGTACACCTCTCGAAACCCAACACAGCCCATCCGTCTGGAACAAAACCTACCCATATGGCCAGCTGAACTGCACGGCCGTCCACCACCATCTTCTTCACTTTAAAATCAATACCTAAGAGTTAGGAGGGGAGGCTCGTCAGAAGGAACTGCCGAACGCCGGCCCTGACAGCCCCCGGCATGTGCACGATCCCGGCTCCGGACCCCAGAAAGAAGGAGCCCAGCAGGAACAAACCCAGCCCCAGCAGGGGCAAGCCCAGCAGGAAGGAGCCCACCAAGAAGGAGCCCAGCAGGAAGGAGCCCACCAAGGGCAAGCCCAGCAAGAAGGAGCCCAGCAGGGGCAAGCCCAGCAAGAAGGAGCCCAGCAGGGGCAAGCCCAGCAGGAACAAACTCAGCAAGAAGGAGCCCAGCAAGAAGGAGCCCAGCAAGAAGGAGCCCAGCAAGAAGGAGCCCAGCAAGAAGGAGCCCAGCAGGAACAAACCCAGCAAGAAGGAGCCCAGCAAGAAGGAGCCCAGCAAGAAGGAGCCCAGCAGGAACAAGGCCAGCCCAGGCTCACCGACGGTGGGAGTCAGGTGCGGCTCGAAGGCGCCGTCCGTGAACCTCCGCAGGAGGCTGTGGGGAGAGAATCACGGCCTGAGCCCGGGGCTGCGCTCGGGGCCCCCGCGCCGCCCGCGCCAGCACCTGGACTTGCCCACGCCGCTGTCCCCGACCAGCAGCAGCTTCAGGGTGAGGCCCGCGGGCCGCATCCCGCAGCGCTCCGGGCCGGCCAGCGCCGCTGCTGCGCTCCCCGA